CAGACTTGGGCTAGTGGGGCTTGTGCTGGCATGCTAAAAATAGCTGTATAGGCATTGCATTAATGTTGCAGCTTGGGCTTTCAGGCCCTCGCAAGCTTGAAAACCTGAGCTACAATCCAACCTAGTATCTACACAGCTAGGGTTAGGGTTAGCACACTGGCACAGTCTTTGAACCTTTGCAGGGAGGCGTGCTCCCAGATGCAGTGTAGCCATACCTTTCAAGCCCAGTTAACCTGGGAAGTGAATGACAAAGCTCATAAGATAAACTCTGAGCTCTACATTGGCAACGGGCAGGGTGGTCACTGACACGTCCTCAAAATACCTGACATTTGGATACTTCCAGGAATATTGTTGATCTGCCCTCACCTACATGACCCAGCCTCCACTGCTGTGACTTCCTACATATAATGCCCTTAACAAGTGACAAACTCTTCAAAATGCTTCCTCCATTCAGCTTTGTCTCACTACCAGGCAGGGCGAAATCACAGAAAGACAGAACTATCTGGCTTAAAACTAAACAAATGGCCTGTCTAGAAATGTACTGCATGGCTACTAGTCTGTCAGCTTAGTCCAAACATATTTTTAATTAAAAGTGGCATTTCTGAACCTACTTTGACTGCATGTGTGACACTGGCAATAAGGAATTCAGATCAATTCAGTGATTTTACTGGCACAAAGTGTCCAGTGTTGATGAAGTGTAAGAAAATATCAGAGATATGAAGTAGGCCTAAGAAAATTGGTGCCATGGAAAAGGGCTCCTAGTATTCCAAAGACATAATTTGTTTTAAAAAAATTATACTCGACAAAAAACCAAGCGCACTTGGAAAAAAATAAGTGCACTTCTAAGTACCATATTGATACTGTTTCATTATTAAGTAGATGCTACTATCATTGGCCTAACCAAGAAGGTGACAGGATGCCCTGCACCTTTAAGAGCAGTAGAGAGCCAGGGCCAGCCAATCTTGTTCCAAGGTGCTTCCCCTTGAAGTCTCCTATGCATCAGAGGGCTCCTACTGGCCTTACTTGAGACACTTTTTTTAATTCTTAATGAAGTCATTCTTTGTTTACAAATCCTCTCATTTCTCCATTTTCTTCCTTCTCCTGTGTAAAAGCATGATATACTTGCAGTGCTGCCCAGGCCTGCTACTTGTTGGAAGAATATCATTGCCTGTACTTCAGAAGCCAGTTTCTCAGCTGATCTAAATCAAGATACTTCCCTGTCTCTCAGGGTATTCTCCTTTCCAATGAGAGAAACCTCAAACTCTTGCTTAAGCAGTGAAGCTAACGGACTTGAAATAATATTTCTAGCTTGATGTAATTTCTTCTAATACCATGCAAGATTTAACAAGCATTCGGGAGTCAGGTTCATTAAGCAAGAAGGCAATGCTCTTCTTTTAACTGCACAAGCACTCATTTTGCATTGAATCTGCTCAGACACTTTCAATTAGCTGAGCAAGGTCAAGTTCTAGTTCAGATTAGTAGCCTCACTGTCACTATTATTCTTCATTATTTTCAAAACAATAGCATCTGGAGACCCCAATGGCAATGGAGATCTCATTGTGTTAAGTGCTGTACTTCAGGAATGGGCAGTAAATGACATGTCGGCAATGGTTTGCTCCCCCCGGCCAATGGGAATTGCAGGAAGCACTGTGGGCTAGGCCATCACTTCCTGCTGCTCCCATGGTCGTACCTGCAGACATGCTGGTAAATAAAGCATCTGATGAACCACCAGGGGCTAACCCTGATGAACCATGTTAATTGGTAGGGGCTGAAGCAGCTACCCACTCGCCGTGGCCCACCACAGGAAGGGGCTGCTCCTGCCAGCCAGCTGAAGTAGCCCTTGTCCATGGTGGGCCTGCAAAAAGGGGCACTGGACTGGACCAGGCCTGCCTTGGAACCCTATCCATCGCCCTTTTAGTCGGTTAACCGGTTAAATGATGTTTAACTGGTTAACCAATTAAATGGGATTATACATCCTTAGTTCAGTTTGTGTACTGCTTAATGCCCACCCCTGCTGTACATAGTAAGAAGCAATCACTGTGTGGTATAGTTTGCACTGTACACAGACATTACTATCAGTTATTTTCACAGCCAGAGGAATGCTAATAATGCGATGCGTTATTGGCATAAGTTCTTGCAAATAATGTCAGAAGTCTATTTCTATATTTATTTAGAATTAGAAATATTTAGATTTTTCTACCCATTAGCTCTTCCCAGTGACAGCTTTAAGGTACCTCAGCATTATGAACTGGGTTTACACCTGCAAAGAATAATTGGTTATGTTGACACATTTTTTGTGAGAATTTATACCACAGGCCTCCTTTACTGTTGCTCCTGTTTGGACTAGGATTCTTGAGTCTGATTCTCAGTTACATTAGGCTTTTTGTGCACCATTTTAAATGGGAGTCTTATGGAAATGGGCCCCTCCTTTGCAGCAGGCCTGTCAACCTAGGGTGGGGCAAATGCAGCAGCTGCCCCATGGCCCTGTGATACAAAAGGACCTGAGACTTCCAGCAAGTGGCCAGAGCCCTGGGCCCTTTAAATGGCCACTGCAGTGCTGGATGGCACATTCCAGAAAGCACGAAAGGGCTGGTGGGGAGGGCTATTCCCCACCTTGCCCCTTTCACCCGAGACCCTGTCCCTTCTGGGTGCGCAGAGCTGCCCCACCCTGCCCAAGGGTCCAGCAATTCTGTCTGCCTCCCAGCTTTGCTCAGAGAGTTTTTCTGGCTGGTAGAACTGGCATAGAAATCTACACCACCCATGCTGGAAATATAAGGAATGTATTGGGTGCTGTTATGGTCATGGCAATAGCTTTATTGCATCTGCTTAGAGTCTCCACCAGGATGAGAAGAGTAGCTGGAGTCGACAGGAGAGCAGCCCCATGCTGACCTTACCGCATAGAAGCCACTGCGGTAAGTACGTTGACTTCAGCTATGCTATTTGTGTAGTTGAAGTTGTGTAGGATAGATCAATGCAGGGAGGAGGGAAGTGTAGTGTAGACTAAGCCAGAGAATCAGTTCCATGATGTCTTTCTGACTCACTGACTCCTTAGTTTTAAATATAATCTGAAAACATACCTCCTTCCTTTCTTCCTGCTAATATTTTTTTTTGTTAAACTTGTAGTATTTAACAACGAATTAAGCAATTAAAATTAGTGTGGTCACAAAATACTGTATGAGTCATATTGCACAGCTGGAGAAGTAAGAGTCAAAGGAGAGGAAAGGAAGTGACATATCTCCAAGTACTTTTCACTGAAATCCCCATAACTTTAAAAGTTTCAAAGATATTAAGGTAAGGAAGGCCTATAGATCATCTAGTCTAACCTTCTGTATAACACAGACTATAGAATTTCTCCAAGTTACTCCTGCACTGAGCCCAATAGCTTGTGTAATTTTGGTATCTTGAAATCCTACGGTCTCTGTGTTGGAGAGAGCTCAAGTTTTGTTCACCTACACTACTTCAATGTCTACACTAGCAGGTAGTAAATGTTACACTGTCTTAGCATAATTATCAAATTAAACTGCACTGGTGTTGTAAGCCCCACTTAGTTACACTGAAACAATCTCAATGTAATCAGACTAGTACAAATGGACAAGCCTGGTGATATATTACCCTAATCAACAATGAGGCTGTGATCAGGCAAAGACCATAATAAACACAATGGAGCATTATGTACAATTATACTACAGTGCATTATATTCTGCCTCTCGATTAACCTGTTTACTTTTGGTAGTACATCTCTCAGTTTGTTACAAATGGTTTAAACTCTGCCACTGACTGGACAGAAGTTGTTGAAGCTGAAATAGTCAAACTCAACAGCCTATTTTAAAGGTCAGTGCTCATCAACTTTGAAAATGTTAACCTTAACCACTTCCTCAAACTTTGGTTTGACTAGGACAGAGGTTCTCAAACTGTAGGCCAGGACCCCAAAATGGGTTGCAACCCCCTTTGACTGGGGTTTCCAGAACTAGCTTAGACTTGCTGGGACCCAGGGCCAAATCCCAAGCCCCACACTGCCCAGGACCAAAGCCAAAAGCTTTCAGTCCTAGGTAGCAGGTCTCAAGTTACAAGCCCCCCTGCCTGGAGATGAAGCCCTTGAGCTTCTGCTTTGCTCCCCCTCACCCCACCCCACCCTCATGGTGGAGCTCAGGCTTTGGCCCCCTCACCTGGGACAGTGAGGCTTAGGCAGGCTCAGGATTTAGTCCCTCCTCCTGGGGTCCTAAAGTAGTTTTTTCTTGTCAGTAAGTGGTTGTGGTGAATGATGTTTGAGAACCCCTTGACTAGAATAAAACAGATTTGTGTGGGGGGGGGGGGAGTTAGCACATATTAGCTAGCACAAACTAGTCTATATTATAACTCTAGAACAGACAAGGTGTATTTCAGCATATGCTAAATTCCACCAGCTCAGAACAAGCTAAACTGTTAGCTAGCACAATTGGGGGACGACGACTCCCAGTCCTTCTTGTCCAGACAAGGCCAGGAGTCCTTGGTTAACTCCCAGAAAACTGATAATATAGTTTAAAATGTTAATACTGCAAGATCCAGAATCTGCAAAAGTTCCCTGAGGCAGACAACTTTTTGGACCTCTTTGTAACAGCCAGCCTGTGTTGTACCTTTCAGGGGTGCTGCCAGGTTTAATTTATTCTTGTCTGAGCATATGAATCACCAAACACCTTCAGGTCCTCAGAGACTATGCAAATGCAAAGAATGATTTTTAATATTCTTCCAAAGCTCTCCTTCATGCACAGTGCTGGGAGAGGAGGAGGGCTTGGGGCAGCCTACCTCAAAAACAAGGCTGCTTGCTGAGCTTAGTTTTTCCTTTTGTTTAAGCTAGACAAACTATGTAACAGTTTAAAGACTAACAAGATGGTTTAATAGGTGATGGGCTTTCCTGGGCCAGACCCACGGAAGCTCATCACCTATTAAACCATCTTGTTCGTCTTTAAAGTGCTACATAGTTTTTCCTTTTGTTTTAGCAAGATCAGACTAACACGGCTCCCTCCCTATTACTATTTGTCTAGCTTGAGAGTTTTAATAGGCAAATAGGGATAGAAATGTAGCCGTGTTAGTCTGGGGTAGCTGAAGCAAAATGCAGGACAATGTAGCACTTTGAAGACGAACAAGATGGTTTAGTTTCCTTCGGGAGAAAATCTGCGAGCACTGATCCCATCCCCAGAGTGGTGGGGAGAGCCCCTCGCACCGATCAGCTGTGCGCAGAGAACCCAGCCAGGCGCACGAAGCAAACACACAGGGCCAGACGCAGAGCCCCCTCTCCACTCGCATCTCAAGAGAGACAGAAAAGCCGCCCGGCCCTGAGCAGGGTCAGGAGGCTCTGACCAGCCTAGCCGCCCTCCCGCAGCTCCCCACAGACTCCGGATTCCCTCCTTCTCCTCCAGCCCTGCCCCGGCTGCACAGAGCTGCCTCTCCGCCCTGGGCACCCGCCGCTCGGGGCACTTTACCTGCAGGCAGAGGGTCCTGGAGAGAAGCCATCGGGTGGGTGCCGAGGGGAGACTGCAGCCGTGCCCAGCGAAGACTGAGGCTGAGCGTGTGTGTGGAGCTGGAAAATCCCCTCTAGGCCAGCCGGGCAACCCCCACCCTAAATCCGAGCGGGCGCTACTGCCTCCCTCTTTCTTCTCCACTTCCTGGTTGGGTGTTGAGCAAGTCGCGGCTCTCTCCCTGGGGAGCGGAAGCTGCAGGTAGAGCTGAGGCTGAAAGCTAGCAGAGGAGTGTGAAAGAGAGAGAGCGGTGTCTCCCCTGCCCCCGGTTCTGGGCCGTCCCTTGGAGAGGCTTTTCCCCTGCCACCAACTCTCATTCAGCCTTCATCTAAAACCATGCGGATTTTATTCGATTTTCAGGTGCATGAGTTTGCTCTTCCTCTATAATGAGCGACAATGTTCGTTCTCCCCTATAGATAGTTGGGTTTTCTTTAGATGTATACATATCAAAATTAGATCCAGGAGAAGTGTGTGTGTGTGTGTGAGAGAGAGAGAGAGAGTCTCTGTGTACAAAAGTATGCATGTTATAAAAACGGACATATGTGTGTGTATAAAAAATACATGTGAGCATTTAATATTCCAACTCATTTTTCTCGGTTATGTGAAGATAATGAATAAATGTATAGTTGCTTTTTTTAAAAAGCATAATGTATCTGCGTTAATTTGACTATCTATTTTCCAAATGTGCGTCTCTCTGTGTGTCCATCTGTGATTCTGTTTGTTCAAAAACTCCTCCTACATGGCAAGACCACCAAATTTGGTAAGCAGCTTCCTTTTATCTTAACTTAAAGCAAGGGTGAGGTTTGGTTGTGTCAGGACCATAGGCGTGTGCACGGGGTGTGCCCAGGCACACCCTAATGTCTGGGGCCAGCCAGCAGCTACTGGAGGAAGAGGGGGATTTGTGACGAAGCGCCACAGCTCCTCACTTTAAATTCCCCACAGCCATCTAAGTGGGCACTGTGGAGCAGAGAGAGCGCATACGTGGCGTCCTCAAACGCCGTGCAACAGGTGAGAGGGGAAACGCTGGGAACTTTAAAACCCAGTGGCCCAGCTCCAAAAGCAGCTGGGGCCCGACTACAGATGGTGGCCTGAGCTATTTTTGCAGCCCAGCCCCCGCCCTACAGCACCATGCTGCGCTCTGGGGGTGCCCCCGCCCATCCCGGCAGCACCACATGGCGCCCATCCCGGCAGCACCCAGCCCTGCTGCACCACGCAGCACCCCAGGGGTGCCCCACCCCGGCCCTGCAGCTTGGGCTGGCTCTGACTCCAGCCCTGCAAGCTGTAAGGCAAAAGCTGAAGGTAAGGCGGAGGGGGAGGGAATAAGAGAGAGGGGTGGGAGAGGAAGGGGCTTTTGTGGTGGGGGAGGGTGGAGGAGGAAGAAAGGGGAAGAGGTGGAAGGGGCTTGTACGGAGGGGGTGGAGAGGGGGAAGAAAGGGGAAGGCACCAAAGGGACAGGGTAGAGGAGACACAAATGCTAGGGGGAAGTGGAGACAATGAGGAAAAGGGCAGGAGGGGAGGTGTCAGTGGAAGGGGGTACAGGGTGATTCTGGAAGAGGAGAGGGTAAGGGCATTGGGGATTGGAGGGGGAGGTGCTGGGAGAAGGCTTGACAGAAGGGGAGGGCATGAGGAAGGTGGGGTTGGAGCAAGTCATATGTGAGGGCACAGGGGCATGAGGGGAATGGGGCAGATGGTGGTGAGGGGATGGGCATCAGGAAAAAAGGGCAAAGGGGGCAGGGGCAGTGAGGGAAGGGGGAGTCACCAGGAGGGCGCAGGAGTAAAGGAAGGTTCAGGTGCCAGGGAATTCTGGGGGTGAAGCAGAAGGGCAGACATCTGCAGGGGAGGGACCAGCACCAGAGGAGAGAGGCAGGGCAGGTGTGTAGAGGGAGTTGTTAGGAGAGGGGATGAGGAGGGGTAGCTCACATGATCAGAGTGGGGCTACTGGAATAGTGGGCATAGGGGGGAGAGAAGGGCTAGTGGAGAGAGGCAGGGGCCAGGGAGG